TGTTTTTGCTTACAGATTTGAAACACTTTTGTCTTTGAAGTAATACAATTTTATCTTAGTGTAATGAAGTATCTGTTGTTATTATTCTGGAAGGTGAGAGCTTGTTAGATATAAATGAAGTCTGGCAAACTCTGAGCATAATGATTTCATAGTGCTTCTCACAAACAGACATATTTCTATCTATACTGTTTCATCTTTAAAGCAGTGTTCCTTGTTTATGTTTGTGATCAGTTCTCTTGTGTTAATGATTGCATTGAGGCCATCGAAGAAGAGCTACCATAATGGGCTGGAAATTCCATAGTGCAGGATTCATTCATAGACTACTGAAAGCATCTTTCAGTAATTGACTACAGTGCTATGACAGAAACTACCCACTCAATTAAGGAATAAATAAACCTTGCATGCCAAGTTTGAGCAGGATATCAAACAGCTACCATTTCTGATGGGCAAATTTGGAAAAAAAAATGCTAAATTCTTTTTTGGTACTGTGGTATCATATCAAGAGTTAGGTTTTTTTCTGTAAAATAAAGTGTACTGCAGTAGTAAGGTCTGTGATCTTACTTGGCCAGCTACAAATTCATTTAGATTACAAATATTGATTTTATTATCTTATATTTATTTTACGTGACTGTGATTATTTTCTTTTTCTTGTTTTTTCAATCCCCCCAGGCATCAAATAGTGCCTCTTACATCCAGGATGCTTTTCAGCTACTCTTACCTGTGCTGCAGATCTCTCTCATTGAGAACAGGACGGAATTACCCAGGCAGGAGCTACAAGTCCAGAGGCCTTTGCCAGAACATTGAAGAATAGAGAAGATTTGACCTGAGATTTGTGATGGCTAAGAAGTGCCACTTTCTTCAGGGTACCCCTGCAGAAATGAATGAGGAAGGTTATTTTAATATATAAAAATTCAGGCAGGAGAACAGGTTTAAAGAGGAAGTTTGTTTCTTCACTTGGCTGAAGTATTCAAATCCTCACACTATTCCCAGTTATTGACATATTATTTGAAAAAACACTTTGTGGAAAGTCTAAGAATATAAGCTCTAGGTAAAGTTTTAGTGGGACACTCAGGCAAAAATATTGATCTATTTTTGACATGCTGCAAAACACTAAAAATTTTGTCATGGATATAATCTGTAGCCCATGGAAAAAATTGGTGTAAAAAACAGGAGGAAAAAACCCTTAATTTGGCATTCTAGAATTTATGACATACTTGGTTTATTAATGCCATGTACTTTCTCCTTTCTAGAATAAAATCTATGGCTTTAAGAAAATTGAGCATATATAAACTCTAAAATGATTACCCTTTATCATGTGATTCTTGGAAATGGCTAGGAAGTTTTATTTACTCTTTAATTCTCAGTAGATATTTGACATTGAGGAAAAACTTGCAGTATTATACTTTTTCAGGCACATGAACGAAGTATAACAGATTCCCCTTTGGCTTTAAATGACTCCCGTATCCCTTGATGACAAGCTTCAAGTCATAGGTGATTCTCTCCTCAACTGTATTTAAGACCAATAAGTGCAATTTAGAGAAACAGTTTCATATTTTAGATATTCTTTTTAAGTTGTTTTTCATGCATACCCCATAAGCAGGACAAATTCTGTCACAACCAACCCTAAATGAGTGTTGAGGCTCTTTTGTTAGTAGGGTTTTTGTTGTTTGAATATTGTTAAAGTGAGTCATAGAGTCCCATAGAAGTGATATTCATTTATAATAAGATTTAACCTCTAATACATTTTTCTTCTTCTTTGTTTTAATTTGTTCTTTAGCATGGTTTTAAATACAACTTTTATCTTCTAGATCTTATGCCCTTTTTCTTTCTTCAACAACCAAAATATATTTTGATATCTATTCTTTTTAAAAAAGGACTCCAACTTTGTGGTTTTTAATGATTCAAGTAACTTTTCTGTGAGCTCTGCCCCCCCATCTTATAACATGTTTAAAATAAAATATAATTGAACTGTTCATAAGTGTGATATTTCACAAATGTCAAGAATGAAAATCATCATTTACTTTATGTACTATAATATGTGCATTTTCATAAAAGGCTTAAAAATGAAGCATTCAGAAATGCTGATGTTATAAATATTCATGCCTCTTAGTTAACATGTCTTCAAAGCCTCAGGTTAATACATAAGAGGAATTCTGAAAACCTGCCCACTGACTTGCCCATCTGCATCCTGATGCTTCCCCAAGCACCAGTCTGCTCATTTCTCCATTTTACTTGAGACCCCATCCGTGCTTGTTATTATATCATCTGGCCAAAGTCCCATCATGTCTCAACTATCACTTTTCTTATCAGGAAAATTACACAAAGAACAGTTCAAGTAGTCTCTTATCTCTCTTGTGTTTTGAGTTAAAGGCAAAGAAAGGTACCATGATCACTTTACTCTCACAAATCAATGTTGAACTTGCCAGATATTTATATTTCTGATAGGCTTACCCTTGTACAGAGACTGCAAACTGAATGAAAAAAACAAAAGGAAAAACCATCATCTGTTTCTACTTGTCAGCCTCACATTTGTCCTTTTCCATACATGCTGGCCATGGCTGTGCTCTTAAACTAATTATGAAGTTAAGTCGTTTTTCTAACTTGAGTGTGAATGCAGCAATATACTAAAAAGTTTTAAGCACATTTGTAAATTGGAATGGAGGTAGTTTGTCATAAAGTTTTTACCTGCCAGTTTCACCTAGGTAACTGTTGCAATGAGCCTAGCAATTTCAACTAAATCAGATTAAACCTGAATAGCCTACATAGTTATTGTAATAAAGTATTGGACTTTGAAGTGTTTACTACAGCTGGATCTTCCTTTACCTATCCCACATGTCATTGGGACTTACTCAAACTGCATAGTTAGCTTGTGTTGAAGCAAAAGTTTCAAAAAAGAATCAAATATATTTCTAACATTCTAACATTTTTAACAGACATGTAAGTGACTTCTGTATTTAGCTTACTCACCATTGAATTCCCAGCTTTCTGGCATTATAGTTTGGCCGATGGTAGAAAGTATTTGTTGTTTGGCTGAAAGAAAAAGAAAAAAAGGAGGAAAAGAAAGAAGAGAGGCCAGAAAAAAAGAAGCAAAAGAATAAATGCAAAAGAAAAAAGATAGTTTGGTGCTTTTGTACCAGCAGAGAGTACATTGGGTTAAAACTCCTGGTTCACAGCTATCCACAGTGAGGCCTCATAAGAGGAAGTGACTCCCTGAAGTTGTACAACTGGTGGTGGGCTCAGCTGGGACCTGCACCCAGGTCTTCTGATCCCAGTCTGGGCCTCCATGAGGCCAGAATCACACCAGAGTTCTGCATATTTAATGGATACAGCTTCCCTGACACTGGATTTGATTGGGGTGGGAAGCAAAATGCAGATTGTCCTATGGGAGTTTGCAATGGTGCTACTTGTCTGAGCAGTCTTTACCTTGTAGTTGCAATGTCCTCTGAGGAAGGAAGTGAGGCAGCTGCTGTTGGAATGAATTATGACTCTTTTGGATGAATTAGTCTCAAATCTGATTGTGATTGTTGAGTTAGTTCAGCACAGCAAATGTTTGCAGATGCATCCATCAGTACTCTTTATTTTTATTTATTTAGAGGTACTGGGGATTGAATTCAGGACCTTGAGCAAACACTCTTCCAACTGAGCTATATCCCCAGCCCTTGCTACTTTTAGTTTTGTGGTTTATATTTTAAAGGGCCATTTTTTACTGTGTATAGCACTATGAAACCGTCTGCTGTTCATCAACCACCTAGCTAAAAGAGGAAACAACACATGGAGCAGTTTGAAAAGACAGCACCACAGACTAAATACACTTTTCTCTTTAATCCTCATAGCTGCTCTGGGAGGCCTGCAGAATGGTGCAAAGACAGGTTTATATATGAATCTTGGCTCCCTTGTTTTCTAAGCCATATGATAATGGGGAAGTGACTTTTTTGTTTTGTTTTGTTTTGTTTTTTTGTACCAGGAATGGAACCCAGAGGCCCTTAGCCATTGATCCACATCCCCAGCATTTGTTTTTTTTCCTTTTTAAAATTTTTGATACAGAGACTTGCTGAGTTGCTGAGGCTGGCTTTGAACTTGAGATCTTCCTGCCTCAGCTTCCCGAGCCGCTGGGATTACACGTGTGCACCACTGTGTCATCCAGTATGACTTACTGTCTTAAATTCAATTTTATTATCTATAAAAACAATCTCTTAACAATAGTTGCACTATAAAGTCATTCTTAAAAAAGTCATTCTTAGATTAAATTATCTGCAAAGTGCATAATAGTGCCTGCTGTATAGCAATATGAGCTAATGCTTAATGAGCACTGCATGCCAGACACTGTTCTGAACATGTATTATATGTACTGATTACCCGTAGTTATTCTTCATAACAAGTCCACAGAACAGGTATTATTAACATGCCACTTACAGATGGAAAAACAGGCACACACAGGTTAAGTAACTTGCCCAAGGTCACAGAACCTAAAGTGATGGGGCCAGAATTCAAAGCCAGATAGCTTGGTATCGGAGTTCCTGCTTCTATCCATTATGTTACACTGACCATAAACTTCCAGTAAAGAAATCTTAGCAACTATTAACTATTTTATTATGATCACTATGAAGCAGATTGAGAGGGTTAAGTGACTTTCAAATTTCACAAGTATATGTGGCAGAGCCTCTGCAGTGTGAGCCTTAGTTGTGTGGTTCCCAAACTCATGTTTGTTCTGTTTTATTCCTTTAAAGTAAAAGGCCCAGAGGTGCTTATCTAGTGATAATATTTATATGGAAGCATCTTGGCAGATTATTCAGAACCACTAGGACTTGGCATAGAAAAGATAACATGGTGACAAGTCATATTTGCCACAACAGGAACAAGGACCTCAGTGAAGCAGGAGCATCTGTATCACTTAGTGACAGAAAGGGAAGAGGAGAACATGAATGTGCATAGCAACTCTGTAATAGCCCCACGCTGGAAATGATGCAGCTCTTAAATGAGTAAACAGTTTGTGGTATGTCCATACCATGGATTGCTCTCAGCAATTAAAGGAACACATTATTGGTACATGTAAGAACTTGGATGAATCTCAGGGGATTATGTAGAGTGAAAGAAAATCTAATCACAAAAAGGTTACATATTGTATAATTCCCATTTATATAACTAACATGAAAAAATGATATAAATGGAGAATAGAGTAATAGTTTCCAGGGTTAGGGATGGGGTGGGAAAGAAAGACAATAGGTATCGTTTTAAAAGGGCAACAGGAGGGATCTGGAGATGGAGTGTCTTTACTGTGATTGACACAAACCTATACATGGTAGTGTAAATTTAAATGCAGACACACAAGTACCCCACAAATGAGAACAAGGAAAACTAAGGAGTCTGAGTAAGATCAGTGGATCATTATCAATGCCAGTATCTGGGTTGTGAAACTAGTTTTTGTAAGATGTGATCTTTGGGGGAAATTGAGTAAAGAATACACAGATATCTGTTTCTGTGTGGGAATCAACTATCATCTCAATAAATATTTTAACTTTAAAAAAAGGAGGAGAGCTTTGGGCCAAGGGAACCAAAGAATCAAGAAGTGTTACCCACTTTCTGGGAGAATTTAACAAAAACCCAGTGGTTCATGTCCTCATTACAGGGACTCTTGTAGAGGTGACAGGTGGGCTCAATCTGCCTCTCACTAGGCAAGTGCTTTGGTAGCAGATTTGTAAGTGGGATGAGATAGTGCAGGAGGATTTTGAAGTTTTGTAATGGATTCCTATCATTTTTTATTGAAATCCACCAATTCAATAGAAAAGATGCTTGCAGAATTGTCCCTAATATCATTAAAGCCATATTCTGATTCAAATAGGCAAGGAAACTCTTCATATTAAATAAGAGCTAAACAAAGGTTTTGACAGAAGCTACCCGGGACAGTTGGGTTCTAATGTAGATTGGTCTTGGCTTAGCCTCTACCTCACAGGATTTATACTGAGGCACTTTATATGAAAGCATCTGGGTAGATTATTCTGAACCACTAGGACTTGGCATAGAAAAGACAGCATGGTCTTCACAATAACTCTACAAAGCCAAAACTACTCTTCTATCTCCACTTGTTCTGCAGAGGTTAAGGCATTAGCCTAAGGTCACATTAGCCTAAGGTGGTGGAGTGGATTCAACCCTAGTTCTGCTTATGTTTATGACCACCACATTAACTTCTTCTTATTTCTCAGTCATCAAAAAGAGGAGATTGGGCCAAGAGCTTTGGATTCTCCATGGCTTGAATGAATACTCAGTCAGTTAATTTTGACCTGAGTGAGGTACAGCAGGTAGTAAAGAAATAAGAATAGCTAATCTTGCTCTACAGGATATAGTAACATACTATAGAAATGATCCCTGAAAGTATAGTCTTCCTACAGGATATAGGATAAGACTGGGCAAGTTGAGTGAGAGAAGCAGACATTACAGAGAGGGTAATGGAATAATTTTTCATTCTTGGAAGGGATGTGACCTACTTAGGACTTCCCAGTATATCTTAATTGTGAAAAATAAGCCCCTTCTCTCTAATAGAGATTAGGCTGTCTGAAGAGTCCTGTTGGATGAATGCATATTCTTAGCTTGTTTCTTTTGATTACCTAAAATACAGGCAGTGGGAAGATAAAACACCTATGTGCTGGCTCATTCAAATTCATAGAGCTCACCTGAAAAAGAAATGGGTGCTGTTCAGAAACCACAGAAAGGAAACCCAGGATTCACTAAAGGTTGAAGGTGGAAGAGAGATGCCAAGACCCAAAGTCAGAGAGGAGAGAATGCAGAGTAGCAAAAACAAAACAAAGACTGTTGAAGTTTGTATCTTCTGCATCTCATAGTTGTTTGGGTTCAATGAGACTTTGGGAGGGAGGTTCTTGATTCTTTTATATCTTCAGGGTTTGTATGGACACTCAAATGGGATTGGGGTGAGGGACTATAGCTACTTAGTGCAGGTAGACCCATCAGCCGTCAGAGACCACTGAAAATCTACAGTGGCTTGCAAGCCTCCCTTGCTCACTCATCCTAGGGAGGCAGAACAGCAAAATGTTGACAAGCAAGAGTGAAGTCTGGAGCCTGGCTCCACCTCTTTCTGTGAACTGTGAACTGACTGTGAACTGACTGTGAACTGTGTGTCCACTTTTTCTGCATCTTTTTAATCTGTAAAATGGGTAGTACTTGCTTCAGGGGGTTGGGTGAGGTGATGAACACATGTTCTTGGCACAGTGCCTGGCCATAGTGCTCACTCTGTTCATTTAAGTTATGATTATGACTACAAGATGGCAGGGGATATTTTGCAGCTTAAAAAGCATTCTGCTATTCTGCTGGCCAGATATTCTCTGTCTTACATGGTGGCTGAGTAAAGAAACTGGGCTTCTTGCCTTAGTCCTTTAGCTTTTCTTTCTGATCCTCAGTTTCCTTAAACAAATCATGAATAGAGCTATCTCATCAGCAGGTCCTTGCTGATGCAGGCAAGGTCATACAGTGTCTAGTAACAATGATGTCACCTTCCATTTTTATCAGATTTTTAAGGAATTTTACATAACTAGTTCCACTCCCGTTTTAAGATGGGGCAACTGAGGGCTGTGGAAGTCAGGAGGAGTGTCCACAGTCACTTGACCCTTAGGTGGCTATGCTGAAACATGTACCTTTGGAATTTTTTGTTGCAGGGAAGGGGCACTCACCTTCATCTCACACAACAGATAAAGCCCTCCTCTTTGGACCAGGCAAACATCTCTCAGTTGACAGGAGATATTTTCACGTCTCAGGGCTTTCCTAACTTCCTTACAAACCCAAGTAGGCTGTGCCTCCTCTGTCCAGGTGAGAGGCCAACTATGGTGCAAATAGTGAAGACTTGATTGTAGTTAGAGGACACTGAGACACTACTCTGAAGGAGCTGCTTTCTTATGTCATTTTCTGATTTCCTGTAGCACAGTGCTCAGACTACCAGCTCTGAGGTCAAATTGATAAGGATTCAAATTCCAACTAAGGTACTTCCTGCTGTGTTTTCTGGGTCAGCTCTCTGGACTCCACTTCCTCACTTATAAAATGGAATAAGTGAGCACATAACTTTACAGGGATGTTGTGAATTTACTATTCATGCATCCATATAGCTGTCTACTCAATTTGTCGGTGCCAGTGTGAAATGAAAATGTCGGGTACCTGTTCAAAAGCAGGAAAAAAGACTTTTCCTTTTTTTTCCCATGGTTCCTTTCTTGGCTCATCATGCTATTTTTTTTATTTGCTATTAATGTCCTCCCTCAGGTACAAGGATACTTGCCTGGTAAGTACCTGAGATCCTACCTTAGGACTGGGCCATGCATGAAAGAAAGCTCCAAGTCCTCAGCTAGTCCTTGTTCCTTTGGACTTCACTTAAATTCAAAGATGTTATTGAACATTACAAGATGGAACTACAGAGGTGAATTCCTCAGATAATGCTTTTCTGATTGCGGACTTGTGACAATACTGCTCGCGTGCCCATGAAGCTGGATCTGAATGTACCTTCAAAGCATTTAGTAATCTCTGGCCTGTAATCACAGCAGGAAGTACCTTAGTTGGATTCAGTAAATGATCAGTAGAGAAGACCAGTTTTACTTGCTTACTCAAGAGCCCTGTAGCTCAAGCTTTCACTTGAGATTTGCATCTCTAGTCTGGCTCAGGGAAGAGTCAGAGAAGGTTTTATTAACAACTTTGTTCAAATGGGGAAACTGAGGCCCAGAGAGGGAATGGAGTTTGGCTGTAAGCCTTGTCATTAGTAACAGAGCCAGAATTCAATGGCAATCTCTAGACTACCGGTCAATGCTGAACATCTTGAGCTCAGAACCCTCTCTGGACCTTGTTACCTGGGGATGATGAGTGGCAACGGGATTGCAACCTCAGCCTCAATCCCTTATATAGCTTTGCAAACCTGGTTCAATACAAGCCACCTCTGAAAGCCTTTCCTGCTAAGAATGTCTTTTAGTTTTCTTTCATATACACATTCATCCAAAATTCACTCATATGGAATAGAGGGTTTTTTCCCATATGCAGATTTTTTGATTGTGTTGAGAATCAGTATGCAGACATTTCAATTTGTGTACAATTCTTAACACATGCCCCGAAAATCTAAAAGCCTTGTATTGGGATTCTTTTTCAGTTATTCCAGTGAATTTCCAGTTTCAACTTTGGAGGCAAATTTTCCTTAAGAGAATATCAAGTACCAATATCTTCAAATGCTGCTGTTACATAAGACTCACCAATTCACATTTTTATATCATATCCATTTGATACTGAAGTATTTTAAAAATATTTCACAGTACATTAGCAAAATTATTGAGAAACTGGACTATTATAACTAAAGATGTCACAGAGAACACAAGGACAATGATCAAGGAGTGGTTTTCTTTAGGAAATAATTCTACTAAAAACAACATGGAAATAAAAACAATTAAAAATATTCAAGTCATAAAATGAAAGACCATGACTCTAAATAGTTTAGTATACTTTGTATTGTAGAATATAAAATTAACCTCCTACCAATGCTAGGTGAAGCCAACACCCAAGACAGTCAAAGCCTCTCCTAATTCAATATCCATGATTTTCTTGTTGTGGCAAAAAAGAAGCTACCAGTGGATGATCTCACCTCTGGAAAAAAAAATTATACTTAAAAGATGAGATGAAGTGAGATTCCCTTTTTTAAAAAAATGTTTCTGTAGTTACTAAAAAAAACTTTACAAAACAGTTTCCTCTGGATTATGCAAGATGGGACCATTGGTTAGACATGATATGTGATTTAATCACCTTTGGCTTATTTCTCTTTGGCTCCATCAGAGGCTGAACTCTCCTGGACTTTAGTTTCTCTTTTTTTTTTTCTGTAGGCAAATCTTTATTTTCTTCATTAGTCACTCACTTAGCTTGCTTAGTCTGTTTTCTCTGTTGTTTATACTGTTTTGGGCAAAGATTTCTTTTCTGCTACCTTTTTTGGCTTTGTTTCTCCTTTTGCAGGAGCAGGATTAACTGACAACCTTGATCTCCTCTTGGGCCCTTCCTTTACCACCCTTGGCCTGAGATGACTTTCTCTTGGGCATCTTGGTGGCTTGGAGGATATGTGTAGATGCCTGCAGGCCATAGTGCCTGGCACTGCCACTCCTAATGAGTGTTAGTGGAACCGAAGTATAGCTATTTGTTTTATTTCATATTTTAGTATGGACTGGAATAGAGCTTTCTGTTCTGTTTTATTTTGTGGTATTGTGGGTTGACCCTCAGGCCTTGAACAGGCTAGGCAAGTGCTCTCCAACTGAATTACATCTCCAGCCTTTTAAAAAAATAATTTGAGACAGGGTCCAGCTCAATTGCCCAGGCCAACCTTCAACTCACCATCCTCCTGCCTCAGCCTCCAAGAAGCTGGGATTGCAGGTGTGTACCACAATGCCTGGCAGAATTTTATTCCCTATGCTTTTTGTATTACTAAACATTATGAGAATTCTATGGACATTCATTTTCATAATTTTATGACATTCTATTTTAGGAGAGCTACATAACCTATTCAACCAATTCCTTGTTTCTTCACACTCAGGTTGTTTCCATAGTTTTCAGTTACTGAAAGACAGTGGAACAAGTTGTTAAGAGCACATGCGCTAGAGAAACACTGGGTATAAATCTAGGTTAACTGTGTGACTTTGAGTGAGTTAGTTTGTGTCTTAGAGCCTCAGCGTCTTTGCCTGTGAACTCAGTACAATCTTAGTATATAGCTCGTGGGTTTCATGAGGATTAAATAAACTTGAAAAAGAACCAAACAAGTATGTGCCATATATGAGTTAGCTTATTCTGTTAACTTTGATAATGCTCTAGTTGATATAATTTTATAGACATCTTTGAATGTATGAGTGATTATGTCCTAGAATTTGCAATCCTGAATCTGAGGGGTGAGCATTCTCAGGCCAGCATAGACAAGGAGATCCAAGGGACTAGAGGCCAGGACAAGTTTGGGATAGAGCCCCAGGCTTTGGCAGGAAATGATTGTCATGAACTGACTTATGCTTAAAGACATTTGGACAGCAACTTTTTCCACTTCAGGGCTGAAAACGGGAATGGTAGAGAGCATAACAAGCTTCAAGTGGACCCCAGAGAATCTTAGATGACCCAGAGGAAAGAGACAGAGACATACTCCCACCAGCTCCAGAATGCTAAGTGGGTATTTTTCTCTTTTGTTCTTGGTTCCTGCTATCACTAAGAAATTTGAGCCTTGAATACAAAGGAATTGAGATAAAATTAAATGGGACCACTAAGTCTTTTTAGCCAGGGATTTTGACATTAGGGCTTGTCATTTCAGGTAGAGCAATAGGAAGGATTGACAACGGCTTTTGTGATCTGTTTGCTCCCAATTATCCCCTCTGTCAACTGTCATTATGGATATATGACTTAAAAATAATGTGTCTTTAGGATGTCACTTGTACAGTGCAAATACCCAGGAAAGATATGTATCTCATAGGATTAGGATGATAGAATCATAGGGATTTGGAGATGAAAAGGAACAAATTCCACCTATTATTCTGGAGCAGAAATTCTCAAAAATTAATTTATGGGCCAGAATCTTATATCAGAATCACCTGGTGGCATAAAAAGGTAGATTTCTGGGCCCACACTCAGAAATTTGATTCAGATTTGGATAGGTTCTATCCATAATGGTTCTATTCAGTGGGTTTTGAATGGGTTCTAGGAAACTGCCCCTTAAAAGAGTCCCCACAGAAAAGGTACACTCATACATTGCTGGTGGGACTGCAAATTGGTGCAACCAATCTGGAAAGCAGTATGGAGATTCCTTAGAAAACTTGGAATGGAACCACCATTTGACTCAACTATTCCACCTATACCCAGAGGGCTTAAAATAAGCATAGTATAGTAATGCAGCCATATCAATGTTCATAGCAGCTCAATTCACAATAGATAAACTGTGCAAGCAACCTAGATGCCCTTCAATAGATGAATGGATAAAGGAACTGTGGTATATATAAACAGTGGACTATTACTCTGCATTAAAAGAGAATTAAATTATGGCATTTGCAGGTAAATGGATGGAGTTGGAGAATATCATGCTAATTGAAGTAAGCCAATTCCCCCAAACCAAAGGCTGAATGTTCTCTCTGATAAATAGATGCTGATCCATAATGGGGAGTGGGGAGGCATGGGAAAAATGGAGGAACACTGATTGGGCAAAGGGGAGGGAGGGGAGGAAGGGGGTATGGGGGCAGGAAAGATGGTGGAATGAGATGGACATCATTACCCTAGGTACGTGTATGACTGCACATATGGTATGACCCTGCATTGTGTGCCACCAGAGAAATTAAAAGTTGTGCTTCAATTGTGTACAATGAATCAAAATGCATTCTGCTGTCATATATGCCTAATTAAAATAAATAAATTAATTTAAAAAAGAGTACCCCCCAAATATGCTAATGTAAGTGAGCTACACTTTGAAGAGCTCTGTTCCATAATATCCCCAGCAAGTTGATGGCCTCTAGTGTTGAGGAGCTTACTACTTCAGGAGAAAGCCTGTGCCATTTTAGAATAGGCCTGACTATAATCAAGTTGTACAGTATATGGAGCTGGAATTTGTCCCTCTATAAATTCTACCCACTGGTCCTAATTCTACTTACTAAGACCACATAGAGAAAGTCACCCTTGGTTGGTGACTTGATAATTGTGCACTATGAGAATCTGTGAGCTGGAAGTATGTTGGTAGAGAAAACCTAGGGCTGAGTTGGCTGTGCTTGGAGAAACTCATCTCCCCTTCTTGCTGGGGTGGATGCCACCTTCTAGACTCAGGCTGAGTGCCCTCAAATCAGTGGGAAGACTCCTGAAGGAGGAAGAAAGGACAATTTGGGAAAGTTTAGGGGATTGTGAAAATGGATGTCTGTGATCCCAGAGATGGTAGGCACTGAGCAGATTCTTGGCAGGACCAGATGGTAAGTTTAAGATCTGGGTTCTTGTCCTACTCTGCCTTTAACTGTCCAACAGGTTTTGGGCAGGTCTCGGCTTCTTTGGACCCCAGTTTTCCTGTACACAAGCATCCCTCACAGTAGGAAATCATTTTTAAATTGCTAAGATCTTCCAGCTTTAAAACCATCTTCTTTGTTATTCTGACAAGTTTCTGTTGGGGTTAGGAAAAGGCAGGTGTCATGTTCTCAGGAAAGAATCATGACCCAGGCTGAGAAGGAGAAATTTGCTCATCTAGTAGAGCTACGTTTGCTGAAGGTCAGGGCTGGGATGGATTTAGAAGGAATGGAGGGGGCTGACATTCCTGCTCTGAACCAAGATGTTTAGGGCTATGGATCTCTGGAGCTCCCCACGCTGGGAGGACCTCCTTCTGAGGGACTCTGAGGGAGGAAAACCATGGAGAAGCCCTCCTTGTGGAGAGGAGTGTTTTAGGCCCTTTGGCTCCTGTGGCCAAGGCTTGATGAACAAGGTACACAATAGGCAAATAAGGAGGGTCGATGCACCATTAAAGGGTCCTTATTCTGTACCTACTATGGGTCTCTACCTTACTCACTTTCTTCTATCAGGAGATACCTGAGGCTTAAGCAAGGAGAACTCTATGTGAGCACTGACTCCCTATGGGTTCTTGGGAAATTCCTCTGACTCCTGCTCCTCCATTTCTTCATCTGTCAGATGTGTTAATGATATTTACCTCCTAGCTAGCGCTTATGTGCTCATGTAAAATAATGTCCATAAACATTTGGTGCTCTGTGATGGGCCAGGAAGATGCCAGCCAGTGTTATTCTTCTATTTGTTTCAGGTTGGTGAGCACTGAAGAAAGAAATCTCTGTCGAGATGGATTCTGTCCTGAAGTGTGAGTTCTTGGGTTTCTGTTTACATGGGATTTCTTTCTCTGTGTCCAGGAGACGTCCTTCAGGGTACTATTGGAGAACTTGTCTGAGATCACACCTGGAGTCAGAGTAGAGCTGGGACCCAGTGCCGCCAAATCCCAGGGTGAAAGTGAGCTCAATAGGAAGGAACAGGACGAGCTATGGCTAAATGGCTGATTGAAAGGAGGCTCAGTGTCACAAGGGGCATCAGAGTAGGGTCAGACCTTGAACCAGTGTCCCTGGGCTCTCAGCAGAGTCCTCCCTCCAGTGCCCCAAGCAGCATAAATTCAGACTTTGAAACAGTAACTTCTGTCTCCAAAAGAGAGAGGTTTGGGTCTCTCTCTCTCTCTCTCTCTCTCTCTCTCTCTCTCTCTCTCTCTCTCTCTCTTTAACAGGTAAAATGTATTTATTTATTTATTGGTTTGTTGATGAACTATATCTTAAATACATTTACATTTTTTATCAGTTTCACTTCTTATGTCTTTTTAATCTGTGAATGTGAAAGAGGTGATGTTTCTTTTTTTTTAGTTTTATTGATTTTAGTTTTTTAAAAATACACAACAGCAGAATGCATTACAGTTCTTATTAACATATAGAGTACAATTTTTCATATCTTTATATATAGAGTATGTTCACGCCAATTCATGCCTTTATACGTGTACTTTGTTTTTTTGCATAACCATTCTTATTGCACATATATACCATAATTTTTCATATCTGTTTATATATAAAGTATATTGACACCCAATTTGAGACTTCATACATGTACTTTGGATAATGATGTCCATCACATTACACGGCCCTTGCTATTCCCCTGCCCCCTCCCTTTCCCTCCTACCCCAGAGGTTTTGGTTTCTCCAGAGAAACATCTAAACACTTGTACCCAGTAAAACTCCATTTACACACTATTCAGGCCTTTTGAGTGAATCTTTCTTGAGCACCTAGCATATGATGATCATGATGCTTTACTCTCATTCGTTAATGCAATCCTCAAAATGACCCAATATTATCACTGTCAATTACAGATATGCCAACTGGCTTAGAGTGTAGTGTAGACTTCCCCAAAGTCAGCACAGCTGTGGGAGTTAGTGAAGGAGAGGGGAGCTTCAAATATGGGCCTTGAACATATTGCCTATCACATTCCCACCACAAACTCATTAAAACTCCAACCCCATTTGCTTAAAGGTTGGATGTCTCTGGTTCAGAGTTCTTCATTGTGGCAGGTGACTTTAAGTCATCATCTCAGAGATGCAGATGAAGCATGAGGAAGGGACTTGGGATTTGTAAAGTTGGTTATGGGTATGGAGAAATTATGATTGGTTAACCTGGATTCTCTGACCAGTGACCCCCTTCCCTGGTCTCTATCAATATATCATAAGTGAGCTGTTATCAGATTGGATCATCTTGAAACAAACTTAGCTTGGTCTATATCCTGCAGTAGAAGCAGGGGAGAGTGGGGTAGAAGAGATGGGACTTATTTTCAGCCCAGCTAATGAGCAGATGTGAGGCCTTGAACACATCTCTTACTTCTTTTGTGGCTTGATTTCAGCATGTAAATAAAAACTCCTGAAAGAGGCTGGGTGCGGTGGCTTGGGCCTGTAATCCCAGTGATTTGGGAGGCTGAGGCAGGAGGATGGAGAGTTCAAAGCCACCCTCAGCAAAAGCAAGGTGCTAAGCAACACAGTGAGACCCCGTCTTTAAATAAAATACAAAATAGGGCTGGGGATGTGGCTCAGTGTTCTAGTGCCCCTGAGTTCAATCCCTGGTACCAAACAAACAAACAACACCCAAAACTCCTGAAAGAACTCCAGAAAGTAAACTTATTAGCATTCTAGGGCATCTGGCTCCATCTTCTGGTCAGTTTTGATCACTACAGTTTTTTGTAGTAGTATCATTCTCTGAGGCCATTAGGGAATTTTGAGGCTTCTAGGAAGTTTTTGTCTGCTGTGAGGGTGGTGAAGGTGTGATAAGGCAGCAACATAATTGTCCTGAAAGTCCAGGAAATTTATGGGGTCTCTGGGTTACATTGATGTTTATTATGCAGCCCTCTGATACTAGTGGCTTGGTGGAGACTCAGGAAGATGGCTTGGGTTGAAGAAGCTCCAAATACCAGAATGAGAAGGGACATTGGAGACCATGGGAACTAACCTCCTCATGGGAAAACTGAGAGCTATGGAGAAGCGAGGATGTATGGTTTCCTGATACCTAAATTCGTATTCTTTCTCCCTCTAGCCCTCTCCTGATTACCTCCTCTTTCTCCAAAGTTTCTATCACGTCTGATCACTTCTGCCATTTTCCCTGAGACAAGGTCATCTGATTAATAAGTACACCCTTCTATCCACTTACTGTCATGACAGCCTACCTCCTGTTCTTAGATCCAGCTCTAACTTGGTGGAGTGGTTCTTCCATCTCTCCAAGCCAGAACTTTCTCAGAGGGAGGAGGATGTGGGAGGTAGAGGGAGGCAAAGACCTGCATTTTCCTCCTGTTTGGTTTTTCTTTCAGCTCAGCCTCTCTGAACCTCAGTTTTCCTATCTGATAAACAACCAATCATCTCAGTGGGATTATTTAAAGGCTAAATAGATGGTGGGCATAAATGTGCCTTATGAAATTTAATAGCCCACTATTAACATATTAAATTTCCCAAAGCCTCCAAGAAACCCAGGTGCTAACTGATACCCAGTTAGCCCAAGTGCTGTGGAACCTCAGAGGAGGGACATGCATGGAGGACTGGAATTATTTGAAAGGCTTCAACGAGGAGGTGGGATTTTATCTCTGAGTCCAGAAAGTATCATGGAGGCACTTCCGCCAATCCAGAGTACAGCTTTTAAAAACTCAAAGCTATAATGGGAGAAGCACAGGAGGATCATTTCACCCTAGTATCCTTTTCCTTGTCTGGAGGTAAGATCTACAACCTCTAGTTTAAAGAGTGAGGTCCACAGAAGGAGGCAGAGACTGAAACCTGTTTTTGCTTGGGTCTTGAGCTCCCAATTCTCATTCAGAGAAAGAGGGGCTGGGGAAAGATTCAGAGAGATAGACACAGATAATGAAAGAGTAAAAGAGATGGAGGCAGAGCCCCTGCCCTGGCAGTCAGTGTTTTTCCAGTTTTTCTCAAGGTCCAACTTCCTGCTCTCATCTTCTCTAAGATACCCTAAATCTTTTCAACAACCACCTTGACTCTGAGACAAGCTTCAGTGGGTTTTCTCTTTCTTTTGAAGACATGGTTCCCAACCCACTAGGCTGTGGAGAGGGCTTTGGGGAGGGAGTCTCCAGAGTTCTGCAGCAAAAGCAAATGTTGCAACATGGGGAAGCAAATACTCCGTTCTGTTCAGCAGACCATCTGTCACTTCTGCTTACCTCTAGGACTGGGAGATGACTCTCTTCTTCCACCAAATATCAACAGAGCTGCCAGCTCCCAGTGGTTGGTTTGGTCTGTTGTCTTCCTTGGCGCAAACTCTCTGTTCACCTGGAGCTGAGTTAATAAGGCTCAGGCTGTGCTCCCTAGTACTCGCAGGCTTTTGCTGACTGGGGCTCATGCATGCACCCCCCACCCCAGAACTGCCCAGCCACCCTTCTGCTCCTGCCCAGCCCAACTCACCTTTACCCACCTCTAGGAGGCTCCTTCCTGGTCCAGGTCCCACCTCTTCCAAACTTTCCTAGAACCCGTTCTCTCTTTTGTCCTTTAGTGCACATGCTCCATAATTAGGTCAGAGCTATCTTACTAGATTATGTGCCCCTTAAACTTATTGTGTGAGTGGAGAAGGAAATCACTAAATTCAGATTGTTTCAGATGATAAAAACTGTTAACAATAAAGAAAGTTATTTAGATGCTGGATATATTCCTGGTGCTGGTCTAGGCACTTGTTACTTACTTATTCATTCTATCTTTACACCATTTACAGAACAGGAACTGGGGGGTCCAGAAAAGTTGAGAAACTTGCTGAAGGTCACATCTTCAGTAAATGAGAGAGGGCAAAGATTTGATGACACATTCCTTCCCCTTCCCATGTTGCTGGCCAAGGCCTAAAAGTTCACCATTGGAATTTGATCCTTTTATTTTAAGGCTATAACTCCTATAAATTATAGGTATTTTTTTGGCAGGAAGAATAATGAAGAGAAGACCTCCTAACCTCTCATAGTTTACCTCCTTGACCACCAGAATGTCTGAATAACCAGCTCCTTCTTTTGTAACTGTGAGCAAAGGAACACCAGTTCCTTGGGATGTTAAATGCATTTTACTAAAAAATCTCCCAGACTGTTGTAAGTAAGCGTGGGAAGCCCTAGGTTAAGCTGTTGTCTTTGTAGCATGGCGTCTCAGAGCTTTAACATGTTGGGACGCTGTGGATCCATAAGAAGGAGAGAAATGAGCTGTGTTCGCCAAACACATTTGACTAGAGGGCTCTATTTTTATAGATCGCTTGTCAAAATTAGTTCCTCTTGCACAGAATCTTCTGTGACTGCTTGAACCCACTGGCAAACCAAGTCACTACCACCTACAATCACTCCATGTTCTCTGGCTTCCTGTGGCTACCCATCCTTCGCATTTGGCAGGCCTGTGGGCGGAGTGCTTTCTCAGGTAAAGAAGTTTGACTGGCACAGACTTTTTGCTTTCTCCAGATGGGATGCTCTGTCAACCAACCAGCTGCATTTATAGGACTGTGGAGCAGGTGGCTCTTCCTGTCCTGGCTGGGCCCTTTTCACTCATTCACTCACTCTTTTAGGACATGTTCTTAGCCATTCTAAACTAGATCCTGGAGAGATCCCTGGGCAAATCAAACCTTGCCCAGGACTGGAATCTATTTGGGTGCATCAGATGGAGATGCAGGGGTGGGGGGAGGGAAGGGACCAAGAAGAATGCAGCTATCCAGAATGCAGCTATCAAGAAGGAAGAGCCTACTTCCAGCTGTGAGGAAGGTGGAATTTCTAGGGAAGATCCATTCAGAGCTGGACTGGAAGGTGATTAGAGGTAACTGGTGGACCTTGTGG